TCCATGTTCTCCCAGACCTTTCAGCCGTCTTAGAAGTTGATATTAAAGGACATAAACGAGAATCAAAACCATTGCAGATACCCAGGCTCTCAATGAGATGAAGAAAGGGCGCTGCGTCTTTCAAGGTGGTAAAATTGAGCTTGTCACTGTTAATAAAGGTGTAAGACGATTCCGGCACAAGTTTCCCTTTAGCGCTGACAACAACGGTCGAGTTTTTGTTTTATAACGACAGCTCTTTCAATAAAAACTACGCCACCAATTTCTTGAAGTTTGTAAAAAACAACACGCTCATCCGTGTGTTGCACACACCATGCTCCATACACGGGCAAGTCTTCTATGCCACCAAACCAATGTTCACCTGTGGAGCTTTCTTTCATGATGACTTCCATGCTTTCAGCATTTGAGGCAGCCCTGTTTTCGTGTTCAAGCATTTCAGTGCACGTCTCACTTTCACTCTGAAGAACTGGGGTAATGTCATCTTCGGCCACTAGCACGCTTGCTGCATTTGTGCCAACATTTTCTACACAAAGCTTCAAATCAAGCTCAGCGCAATTAGCAAAATGCCGCGGTACCGCACCTTTCTTCAGTTCCCAGCGTCCTCGCGGAATCGAGACTGTTTCGCCATTCACAACATGCTGGAAGGAGGTGCAAATGTCCGCTTCATCAAAGTGACGATCACATATGTATGATCTTTGAGTAACTTCGAAGTTTGCACGGCCTGCCGCATTGTTCCACTCCCTCAGCACATTGGGGTCTTTCGGTGGCTTGAAAAAGTGTCGCTGCACGAAGGGCACTTCATTTGACGTTGCCGATGAATATCCACTTCGACAGCCTGGCACAGCACACCTCGGCATGCCGACCGTTCTCCCGAAGGGAGCAAAATTCAACCGCGAACAATTGCTTGCTCAGAGTCACCGTCCGCTTTCTCTCCAGAAAGCAGAACAGCGTAAACATTATCGTCTGCTCTGTCATGGTTGAAATTTAATGCATAAGGTCTGTTACGAAACAACGAGCCAGCCTTTTTTTTATATTTAGGTTACTTAACGTTACTTAATTTAGGTTACTTAACCATTATTACCAGCAGGGAAAAAATCGTCTGCAAGCGCAGGCCCTGCTAGCCGCGTCGCTGCTCCGTCTGCTCCGCGCGATGCCGGCTGCGCGGCGGAGAGGTCACGTGACGTGGTCGCAAAGCGATGCCAGCGACACCTGGAATGGGCGACGATTTGCGGCCGCCTCCTCGCGCGAGTTTTCCAACTGTCCTCATCCAGTAACGTTGGTCGCCAGCAAGTGTAAGCGCCGCTGTTTCGCATCTACACATGGTTCCATTTAGCGGGAGATGGTGTAATTAGTTCTCCTTTTGTAACGCTGGACCGTATTGACAATCTGCACAGAATATTTATGGAAGGTGACTGTGACCAGCAATGGGAAATGGCGGCATCAGATGGGACCATGAACACATCGACCAAAAGCAGTCACGCTTCGATTCTTTCTTCCTTATGAAAAAATAAACCGTATTCTCCTACTTATCAATGTGTATCTACTATGATGCAACTTATTTTTCATTTAGCTGACTAAGACTATCGTTGACTGTACCGTTGTATAATACCTCTGAGCAAAAGAGAATGAATGTCTGTGGAAACAAACAATGACACGCGATAACCAATACAATTGCGTGATTAACATAACTGCGTTAGCCAGCGTTCTAATCAGGGCTCCTTCCGCGAACTTTCCGGGTTTTGCGACATCTCATGATAAGTTAAGCAGTGATTTATGCCTAGGCACTGATACGGCGATGACCAGTACACGGTGATAATATGAAATGCGATATGCAGACACGTGACGTACAAGGAGCTGGCCTTAGAGGCACCGGCATGGTGCATTGTTAGTAGCCCAATTTTTGCGGCCACGCATCCAGATGAGCCGGGAAGCACGCGCGTGACAGCTCCGAGTGAACGAACGCGCGGGCCGGCGCGCTTGTGGGCAGTGCCGAGCATAACTAGGAAGTCAGCGACGACCACAGCGTACGGAGAGGTTCTCCCTGAAGGACCGCGAGGGATACAACATGAAAATAAGTGGACCTGTTCGCGCTGCAGGCAGCGATACAAGACAGCGGACGTGAATTTGTTGCGGCCGCGCGCGTCGAAGCCTCGCACATTTCTGCACATTTCTGCTGTTGCGGTCAAGTGTAGTTTCTTCCGCTGAAGGAGCCCAAAGCAAGGAATGCTCTGGAAGGTCACAATTACAGTGAGAAGCAGCTGCTTACTCGACGGTAGTTATAAGAAAGAGACGAGCTCCACTTGGTCCCTTTGTCGTCGTTGTCGCGCTATAACTATCGACATGTCATACCAACTAGCCCAAACCACCACACTACTTGGTTACTCGAGCCGCGTGTGGAGCAAGTTCCTGCCGATAGCGGGATCGTGATGACACAGATGTTTTGGCGCACGAACGCGCCCACTTCTTTTCACATTGTATCACTCGCGGTCCTTCGGGGAGAACCTCTCCGTACGCTGTGGTCGTCGCTGACTTCCTAGTTACGCTCGGCACTGCCCACAAGCGCGCCGGCCCGCGCGTTTGTTTACTCGGAGCTGTCACACGCGTGCTTCCCAGCACAGCTGACTTGAAAATGGTGGATTATTCACAATGCACCGGCGCCGCTGGTGAGAGCTTCCTACAGGCGAAAGCTGTACCGGATAAGGAATAGTGGATACAAACATGATTGCAGAAACCAGATGCGTAACGCTGGGCTGCGGTCATAGCAAGACCAGTTCTCACAAACGATGGGTCGTTCCTCTCCCGTTCCAGCAAGTTAGCATGCCAACTTTCGTTCGTATCTTCTTTCGTACGCAAAGACACAGAAGCGGCCCGTTCGGGAGGAGAGCGGCACGATGTTGGTAATGTGTGAACAGGACATGAGTGTCACAAAACATACTGTATACACATGCGAACGTTATATGCGAACGTAAAGTAAGTAGCAAAAGGCGCGGCCACGAGTGACCAGCGCGGTGTCCACAAAGTACACGCGATATGCTGGAAGGAATGGCAGCCTTGAATTCTGAGCGGACGCGCCGCCAAAACGCGCGTACGACGACATAGCGTTGCGTCACTCCATTTCCGGCTCAGCTGTATGTGTCGCGCGTTTATTCCGCCGAAGACGAGCGGGGGGACACATTCGCAAGACGGTTCACCGGGCGGACCCGAATCGTATCTCTGGGGACTATTATCGGCATAGCATTGTTACTGACGCAACGCCAGCAGTAATAAGAGAGAACGCCGATGGGCGAACCACCCGCGGCGTTTGGACAAGAGCCCGGGTCCGTAGACGGGTCACGTGACACGACCGCCCGGTGCACTGCGTGCCGTTGCCTAGAGCCGCGCGGGCGTAAACACGGGGCGCACGCTGCCGCGCCACTGCTGCGGACACACGCGACCACCGAGGACTTCGCGAGCCGGCCCGGGGGGAGAGCAGTTCGCGCAACGAGAGACGTAATGGACGGTGGCGGCGGGCTCTTGGGGGGCGCCAAAAACAAGGCCGAAGGACACTCACCCGCCATGCACGGGGGCAGCCCTTCGCGGCGTGGACGATATTCAGGGCATCTGGGACGAAGGAACCACGTTTGCGGGCCACAGCAGACGACACCGCTACATTGCGACAGTGCGGGAAAGGGCACCTCCTCGCTCGAGGAAGTTCGCTCAAAAGGCGAAGCGAGCCGAAACGGAACACACGCGGGGCGCTCCTTCTTCTTGTCACTCCTTTCAGTTTTTTTCTTCTTCCCACTCCTATGAAAAAGATTGGCCTTTGCTTAATTGCCCATCTACCGCTTCGGTGTGCCTTGTTTACGAGCCAATATCGATTCGCATCTCCGGCTTGCCCTCTCTCAGACGGCGGCAAGATTGTTACGCGCGAAAAAAAAAAAAAAAAAAACACTTGGCGACGTCGCTTCCGGGTTCCTCGGGGCGCAGCTACGCACGGGTAGCGTGCTCCAGCGAGAGAGGCTGCGGAGCATCTACGTAAACTAAAACATTTATGCGGATTAGGCAGCGCGCGTAGCACTTCGGCCCAGTAAGTGAACTACACAGGAACTGCTGCGATAGCCGAAGTTCGCCGCGCAGCGTTTAAATTATTTCAGGTCCACGCGCAGATCACTGATGGACAAACCGGAGAGAAAGAAACTTTTACCGCACAGGCAGCGGGGCGAGAAAACACTAACGAAAGCTTTCCAGGAACGCTCGCCTTTACGCGCAGGAGAGGATTGTACAGCTTGGCATATAATTACCCTTCTTACCGAAACGATTGATAGGCGCTCTCAAATATACGATGTCAAAGATACACGAGGACTGTCAAGAGGAACCGCAAAGGCCGCAAGGTACGAATGCAGCAGCGAGCACAGCCACAGTTCTATTACTGCCCAAGCAGCCTCTCTGTCTCTGCGGTGCTCTGCTGATATATATATATATATATATATATATATATATATATATATATATATATATATATATATATATATATATATATATATGCCGGCTAGATAGCTGAGACGGAAAAAAGGTAGCACTGGTGGAGAAATGTCTGAACGCCCGTGATAACTTTTCTTGGCGTTCCCGTCTCCTCGTTCGTGAGCGGGATTAGAATAGCACGGAAGGCGGTCGTATTTAGCCACGTTTCTCGCGCCCTCTCCGCGTCCCAACGACCTCGGAAGTGTCTTTGCACCGCGCGGAGAGGAAACCGGTCATTACGTAACTGGGGCCGCTTCCAAGTCTAGGGCAGCGGTGTCTCTCGAAGTCTGCTGTGCACCAAGACAACCTCAGTGGTTGAGTGCAGCCAAAGCGCCTGCGAGAAATATACGTAAGCGCTGCCTCAGAGTTATTCGAGCTGAAATGGGGAAAATCGTGTCGATCTTTGTCAGGCGAAGTTCCTACAACAAGCAGTGACGACTCCAACATGAATAGGGTCTTACAGACGAAACCAATTAAATGAAAGAAATACAAGAGGCACCCACCTTTGATGGAGCCGGACGATGTCTGGGGCTGAACCACCTCGACTTTAGTGTAGCTGTTACTCCAAGACATTTGACAGTTATCGTCGCTAGGCTGAGGTCAGATGTGTAGAGGGCTGCGGGAATCCAGAGCGCCGGCACTCCGAAGTCTGGGGGGCCCACGCATCGGCGCGGAAAGCTCGTAAACCAGCACCGCCAAACACCGTACTAGGCCCCCTGCTTGCTGAGAACACGCGTCCGCACTAACGGTACCCGAGCGATAATAATAAAAAAAAAAGTTGAAAGCAAAACCAATAAGCTGGGTGCGGAGGAACACGGGTCGCGTAGGGTCTAGTCACGTCGTATCATGGCCGAAGAGAACCACCGGCGCCAGGCACGCCGTCGTCAGATGGTGGTCGGCGGCGGTCCCGTTGGAGAACGGCGATGCAATCCCACACATGCGCCGAGCTCAGCGGAGGTCACCAACACACAGCACTTGCGGCGCGTACGTGAAACACTGCCACGGCGATTCACCCGCGTTGTAAAGCCCCCGGAGTCGTTGATCTCTCTGTCGCGCGCACCGAGCGGCAGTTATGCAGGGGAGTAGCCGGAAGAGCGCGACAACAGGCGTGGCAGTAGCAGACGACGAACTCTGGAGCGAGCGACCGCCGCGAAACGCGGAAACGCAGTAATCCACCTGCGCGCGTAGCGCCTCTCCAACGGCTGTGCGCCAGTGTGGAGCTCGGCGTTCGCCAGCCGGGACAGTGCACCTCCTTACACTCTACCTCCTCCCCCTCTTCCGCATCGCGCGGCGGCGAGTTCACTGCGCCGCGCAGAGGGGAGGCCGCCGCCGCCGTCGAAGCCAGCGGGCGATCGTCTGTTCCTCGCAGGAACGAAAATTCCCGGCAGGCGTCTTGAATTATTGAAAACTGTGCGCTGTTGAAATCAGACCGCACCGAATAACGGGCCTGGTGGTCATGTTAGTGGCAAACCAAAACTCTGATGAACCGCAAAAGTTGTACTTCTCGCAGGGCCGAGAATTTCTATAAGGGTCTCTTTCCACGTTTCAAGAAGAGAAAGTGCCAAATATCTTAATAGAAGGATAAATGTGGTATAAAAAAGAACTGGCGCAATTACTAAAACGCTTCAAGGAGTCCTGCATTCATCCCCACAGAGTGGCTCCTGGCAAAACTTTCTGCGCGTGTGCGACAATCACGACTTGAACTTCGATGCGAATTCGTATGATGAAATCCAATCGAATATTTTGCGAATAGTACAACTGGTGCCATTCAGGAAGACTTCTTTCGCCATACATACTGGTAAATGTTTGCTGTACAGCTAATCATGTGCAGAAATATATCCACTTACATGTGCAGTTCAAGGTTTCGTGAATGATGCTTGGCATGTCCGGAAAGCGGCGAGACCTTCGTGTATGTCGTCACGTGCTTTTTTTATAAGGAATGAACAAACTTAAACTACATTCTCATGTGCTACACAGACCACCTGACTGGGCCAAGCATTATCTTCGAGAGGCAAGTGATGCAGTCGCTTAAACTAGATCGGTGCCGACTTTTCCCGAATCCTTCAGACATGACGAGATTCCTTCTAAACGGCAACTTCTTGCCTTCCGGAGACCTGCGTTAGCTTGCCAAATGGCTCTCTATCGGGAGGCGCGATGGCATCGGTTCGGTACGATGCTCGTGCGAGGTGCTTTATCGTTCCAGAAAACTGCGAAATTTCTTACTTTCGAACACCTCTTCATTTTGAGCAGCTCTCCAATCATTTCATGGTCGGCGTGGACCTCGGCAGCGACCACTGCGTCACAGTAATGACGGTAGGCTCGCACAAGACAAATATTCAAGCTAGTGGAGATATGGCGGGTTGGCCCGCAGAGGATGCGCACCTATCCCTACAAGAGTGGATAACGCAGCCCAAGACGGATCTCGAGGCAGCAATGAGACAACCAACCTGGAAACTCAGAAGATGGAACATCCTTTACTGAAGCCAATGGTGCAAAGATAGAAAGGTCAACGCCTGAACCATCGGCTGCGAAAGAACATTGCGGAGCTAAACTGGAGCATCGATCACTGGTCCGCAATGACTAATCAGTAATGAAACGAGGCCTGCAGCATAACTGATGGGCAGGTACCCAAAGGCGGCTGTTGGAACCTTTTCAACCACCTCTTGGATGGCGCGAACACCAAGACCTCGCATAGCGTTGCGATGAGCGAACTGCTATACGAAACATGTAATACAGAAACACTGGACGAGCTTGTAAGAAGGCTGACGGTCAAGTACCTCCCCGTGGCGGATGCGGCAGTTACCGAGGATGTGAGCTCCCAATACTTGGGGCAAACTAACCCGGAGCTCGATGCCGACTTCACTGTGGAAGAAATAGTACAAAAACTCAGAGGTCTCAACAGCCAATCTGCACCGGGGCCGTATAACATCACTAATAAGGCCCTCCACCCTCTCGATGAGGGCTGTTCGGAACGGCTCACTGCAATAGTGAAACGTAGCATTCAGGTAGAGTTCCCATAGAATAGAAGATCGTAAAAATGGTAATAATACTGAAACCTGGCAAACATATAAGGTTGTACAATCTGCATCCGGTATCTCTCACATCATGCGTGGCTAAGACCACGGAGCATATGGTGCTTAATCCTATGACGTCTTACGAGGAGAACAACGAGATATATCCTCACGTCATTGGCTTTCGTGAGGGGCTGGCGACGCAAGACGCTACAAAGCTGGTCAAGAGTCACATACTAGGCAGCACAACAAGAGAAGTTAAGGCCATCCTATATCTAGACATAGACACACGGCACACCTTTAATAACACACGACACTCCTTCATTCTACAACAAACCTCAACACTCGGACTTCATCAATGCCTCTACGACTAGATTCGGGACTTCCTGAGTAGAAGGCAGATCTCGATACGGGTCGTCTATACCGGCAGTCACAGCCGGTCGAGCAGGCTGACAAGGGGACCCCGCAGGGCTCGGTAATATATCCTACCCTTCTCAGCTTGGCCATGCTAGGGCTGTCGAGGCGACTGAGTAAAATCGAGAACCTCCAACATACCATATATGCAGGTGGCGTAACAAAAATATGGGTGGCAAAGGGAAATTCTGGAAAAATCGAGTGCACTTTACAAAATGCGATCCGAACCATCGAGGAATACCTCAAACCGACAGGCCTACGGTGCTTGCTGAGCAAGTCTGAGACGAAGGCGCAAACCGAAAGAATGGGACACAGGCGCCGACCCACACGTTCGCCTGTAAACCGCTGAATGCAACATACCTGTGGCTGGTCACATCTAAATGTTGAGCATGACGATAGAGGCATATGGCTCCTACACCATGGCAGTCGCTAAGCTCACCACGAAGGCTGAGAATGCTACACACCTACTGAGACGAGTGGCCAACCTGCTCAAGGAGGACCACTGCTTATTTATACATGGCCACCACCAAACTTCATTAATCTCGTTCGTCGTTTCATCGACTAAGATGTGGTTCGTGCCACATGGTCTACATTTCACCGAGTGCGTCAAATGGTGCTTCTGGGGAATGGAGTCCCGGAACGACCATCTGGGCTTGATGGAGTGCACTTGTTCCCAGACAGTGACTGCTACGAATAGAACTGTGCTAATAAAATCATCCTTATAAGCTGCGTTATAAATGTGCACATTTTGCGTCTGTTAATGCGTTGAGCGTTCAGTGGTTGAGGGACCTCCCTGCCTTTCTGTCACTTTATTCTCTCTTTCTTTCTGCGCTCTAGTGCGTGGGTGGATTCGCAACCTTATGCAGAAGCGTTTCTAGCTTGTCTCTTTCTCCTTTGGTTCAATTGTGCATCGCCGCAATGTACACGAAGATTACCTGTACCTCTGTCACATGGCAATCACCGAACTCCATTTTCCTCCATTCAGCATTCAACTCTCTAATGGAGCTTTAAAAGAATAGAGTTGTGACCGTGCTACACGGCTCAGGGCAAGATTTTAATGGCAGCCACATGTGGCAGAAACAGCGCTGCGGGGCATGTTGAAACGTCCCATTTTGAACGTTTAGTGACCTTTAAACCAATGCAGAGGTGTTTCGTTCTTTGTATGACATATAAAGATTAAGGGGAGAAGTATGTGATATGTTATTGCAACACTTGGGATCTAAAGCCATTGAAAACTTAAAAGCAATGCTGGCCTCACTGCGCTGTTGTTTTGATGAGTGAACGTAGCGCAAAAACGTGGGCGAGCGTAGCAAGCTTGCGCGTCAGTTTGTAGTGCTGTGTTGTTCACTGTTGAAGTTGTGCTGTGAAATTGTGTGTATTCGTTGGGGCGGAAGAGGTTGCGGGGATGTCGAGCTCTGCTACACTGTGCACAAGCGTGTGCCTCGCGAGTGTATAAGCAAACAATATGCAGATACGCTTGCCGGTGGCGGCATAGCGAAGCGTTGGTGTAGAGGGTACCGGTGCTCATGTCCTTCAATATACAACTAAACCTTGCACTACGTGGAGCGTAATGCTACAATTTAAGCATGCACAGCCATGGCCACGTCGGTGCAGAGCACGAGAGGAGCCAGGAGCCGGTTTCGGCACTGCGGGGCGAAACCTCGGGGCAGTTTTGGGCTCTGAAGTGCTGTATCAGAATCATGTGTGGCCTAGCTGTCAGGCTGACCACATCACAACACAAAACGGCCTCGAGGTTTTGCCCCGCGTACAAAAAACCGCCTTCTCGCGCGCTCTACACAGATGGGGCCGTGGCTGTACACCTCAGGAGACCAAGCGTATGTAACAGCCATGGGCCAACCCCCGAACCGAGGAAAAAGATTCGGGCAGCCCCCCTGCTCAGGAATATCAACCCAGAGGACAACATTGACAGAAGACTAGCTCGAGCCCAAGCACTCCTGCGCAGGCAGCGGCATCCGCGACGGCAAGCTGTTTTACGGATGCAGCCATATATCCTGTCAGACGAGCATATATATACGTAGCAGTGGTAGTCAACATGGGTTGCAGCGATGGCGCAGTGGTTAGAGCATCCGCCTCGCATGCAAAAGGTCCATGGTTCAAATCCCGGTGCCACGCAGTTCCCAACCGGATAAGAAAAATCCACGTGGTGATGGAACTGCATCAAGAGGCCTGGGGTGTGGCCTCACCGTTAACCACCGCCGGGAACGCACTCCCTCACCAGAGTAGGATTGGCCACCCTGGTGCAGTATCTGGCCACTACCTCTCACATCATCATCATCATCAACCTGACTACGTCCAAAGCAGGGCAAAGGCCTCTCTCATGTTCCGCCAGTTAACCCGGTCCTGTGCTTGCTGCTGCCAATTTATGCCAGCAAACTTCTTAATCTCATCTGCCCACCTAACCTTCTGTCTCCCCCTAACCCGCTTGCTTTCTCTGGGAATCCAGTCAGTTACCCTTAATGACCAGTGGTTATCCTGTCTACGCGCTACATGCCCGGCCCATGTCCATTTCCTCTTCTTGATTTCAGCTATGATATCCTTAACCCCCGTTTGTTCCCTAATCCACTCTGCTCTCTCTTCTTGTCTCTTAAGGTTACGCCTACCATTTTTCTTTCCATTGCTCGCTGCGTCGTCCTCAATTTAAGCTGAACCTTCTTTGTAAGTCTCCAGGTTTCTGCTCCATAGCTAAGTACCGGCAAGATACAGCTGTTATATACCTTCCTGTTGATGGATAGTGGCAATCTACCTGTCATAAT